CGCCACACTCTAAAAACCTAACCGTTTGCGTTGTTAACCTTTGGTGGTCGAATACCGCCGTAATGGTGACTTCAAGCCTCGATATCTAAAATTGAAAACTGCAGATGAATAATTTAATTATTCAAATATCAAAAGACTGTTTCTTTCTTTTTTAATATTTCAAACTTCGATGCATAATTCAATATTTTATAGAAAGAGTTTTTAAAAGATTCAAAAATTCTCATTCGCAGATGGTTAACCTTTCGCGACCCGCATCGCGTTCGTGCTTTTCGACACAGAAACTGAAACCGCAACCGCCATTTCAATCAACACCGAAACCGAACGATTTATCATTGTTTCTCTATTTTCATACTACTATGTTTCGTCAGAGATCGTGTTTATAACAACGGACCGCCTGTTTCTACGTTCTAGTAATTTCTTTTGTAACTTTATTTCCAAGGTAAAGAACTGTTTCATTAAGTAGAGTAGAACATAAGTGTAAAGAATGTAAGTATGGTAGGGGTTATAAAAGAAATATGATCCATGCATTGTGTTGCGTTTTATTTAATAATGTATTAAACTGTTTCATATGAAAAATACTTTCAGACTTTGAAGAACATTTTGTCTAGAAGATATTGAAGTATAGCCAGATATTAGTAGAAAAATACTTCGCGTATGCGCGAGGAATTGCATCGCATTCCATGAAATCGAATTGAATTACAGATATTTACTCGTGCACCGGTGTATATTCCTATATCGATGAAAGTTTATATCGCTTTATAAAAATGTTATCGATAGCATTTTCTTTTACCACTGATTTCAATGTCGTTCGAAACTTTGAATTCCATCTGTTTCGAAAATTCAAGACTCTTACAAAAAATTCTAGTAAACTTTACAAAAGATAAATATTTTCAGTAATTCGTGGTTTTATTATGCCAAAGAACATTTTAATTATCTTGAAAAAGTTAAATAAGTAATATTCATATTCCAAATATAAATCATGTATCTGGCAAATGTTTAATATTTAATATTTCATATTGTACTTAAACACTTTAAATATTTAAGCAAAAGTTTACTTTTCACTTGGATACAGTACGATTAGAATATAGATCATTATTTCACTGACCCATCGACGGAATGTTCGCCACAACTTGACCTTACGTCTTTTTAACGATAAAAAAGAGCGGCTTTTCGTTTTCTATCGATCTTGAAAATGGCCGCGTTGACCCGAGCGACTCCGTTTCACGTTCAGCTTTACGACGCGCCAAAGGAACCGTGTTTTACGGGTTTTAAAAAATGTAAACCTAAATGCGACTGCTGCACCACTGTACGTGTCGAGGATACGTCACACATTTGCGGCAAAAGTGTTACAGGAAATTCGAAAATCTTTCGTTTTCTTTCAAATGCGAACACTGAAAAACGAATTTCTTATATTTGCAACAAATACATTGTTCGAGAACTTAATAGAGTGATAAGTTGACAAAAACCGCAGATTAATCAGCAAACCACAAATGTTTATAGATATAGATATTCTTGGATAAAACTCTCAAAATTGAAATCGAGAAAAAATGTCACTTGCTGCGTTGGGATTCTATCGAATTCCAAAGAACACAAGAATTTTATTGAACTATTCGAAGTATTTTATATTGTTTTATAGATAATACAACTTTCATAACAAACAAGAGGAAGACATTTCTGTTTTATTCCAGTCTCTGCGAGTTGTACCATAAAAAAGATGCTAGAAACGACATGAATAAATAGCCCATTAGTGTCGACACTTTATTATCAGGTTCCCAAAGAATTTTCTTTCGCGCCATTTCACAATTCGATATTCTTCGTTGAGGGAAAACATCTGGTTCGGACAAATATATGGGAAAGAGCCACCTAGACGAATAAATTCACTTCCATCTATTTCAACAGCCCTCCGCGCCCTTAAAGAATTCAAGAGAAAGTATTTCTCAGATGCTCGGCGCTATTATCATACTTTAGAAAAGATTTGGTGGATATAAGTCAAAAGACGGGCACACAGACGTGAATCGCAGCGGGAATATCAGTTTTCGAAAAGAAAAGTCAGTACATTATTGTTTACGGACAATAGCAATTATTATTTGTTAATTAAGTGAAATGAATTCGTAAATCTGGCGAAATAAATGTTCAACGTTTACAACCTAAATAACATTTGAACAAAATGATACCCGCCACTGTCGATCTAAGAGTAAAATAGAATTCGCAATTAAGTTGTCATTCTTTCTCCTTTAATTTGTATCTGTCTCGCGAAATTGGAGGAGCGCCCGCCGCAATTCCAGTTAATGAGTCCTTTGCATTATCGAGCGGTGTACCGAACCAGTTATTCGTTCTCGTTTAGATGATTGAATTCTACAAAATCTATGACGATGGATTTATTTTAACTTGGTTTGTATGTCCGTTAAAGTGATACCTGTAAAATGTACTGTGTATTTTATAGAGGTAAGGTAATACGGATACCTATCAAAATTTCGAAATCGTTTCTTTCGTTCGACAAGTTTTGGCTCCAAGCAATACAACAACCACAATCATTTCACCTTCATAATTGTCACAATTCAAACCCAACATTAATAAACGCGAATTAGATTAATCTAGCTGATCTAAGTAATCCAACTAATCCAGAACCGACTGACTCCAAATTAAATTAGCCTAGAGTCGACGGAATTAATTAGGACCCTACCGAGATTCTGAAATTAAAATGTGATCCAAGCTAGAGGGACCTACTTACTTAGATTCATGGGGACTTACGTCGAAGGTTCCTAGCAACCTCAATTCCAGGTTCCCAGATCTGATTTCATTTTAGAACTGGATCTCGGCTTGATTTTTTAATTATATTATTAATTTTAAATTGTAGCAAATAAAAGTGATTTAAACTATTATAAAAAGAGGATGTTACACGTTACAACCAACTTCACCCTGTATATTTCCAAGAAAATTTTTTAACATTGGACAACTACAGAAAATCCTTTTACCAACGTAAAATCTAAAACGGGTGTTCTCAATGCGAATCATTATACGTGCTTTTACGTCACGAGAACTAATTTCGAACACGTGAGTGATGTTCGACATTGATACGCGTAGAGTTCACTGACATGTACATATTTTGCTCGGGACACTAAAAATACACAAGCTTGAAATCAAGCCAGTGTACATCGCCATGCGAGGACTATTAATATGTAACAGACATTCTTTGTCGTGTATGTATATGTATATTTATGGAACAGCATTGTTCCTTGATACGATGTAAATTAACTCTCGGTACTCAAGTGGAAATAAATTTCGCCGAAGAAAGTTCGCATTCAAGGGAAGAAATATTTTTAGAAATCGCCACATAAAATTTTCCCGCTGCTCCATTATGCGCGTGAAATGATATAAAAATGTAAGGGGTTAGCGGTATCAACAGGTCAATCTGAAATTTTATAACTTATACTGGTGAAAATGGTTCACGTTTCTTTCGAATGTGCCGTGGGGTATTTTTACCGTCGGCTGCACGATTATCACGATTTAAATTAATTTTCTCTCTCATTAGCATTGTGATCTAAAACTTTGATATCTAGAACGTTATGCGTTTTCGTCATTGAAATATAAATAACTGTTTTCCTTAAGTTCACAGATCAATTGTTTTAAAAAGTGTGTGGTTAGTTTTTTGAAGCAAAAATATTTGTTCCCAGATTTTCAATTTTTAACCGTGTATGCGACCATTTTGTAATTGATTGGATGGTAGCATGATACACGGCAGGTGAGCGACACAATGGAGGCCTAAAACGAGGTCCTGAATCTTGAATGCTGGCAGCTCGAAGATGCAAATGAATTCGAATCACCATTCTGTATTGTCGCGAACCGCCGAGGACCGCCGATTTACGATCAAATCAGACTTGCTTCGACGCCTGCCTACAATTGAAACTAAAGACCCGATCAATTCAATTAACCTTTCGGTCGAGCTTCGAAGTTTCATGTTTGTTGTAACGACAGGAAATTCATTTAACAGGAAACACGATTTGAAATCCTTACTTTTTTAATTCAAAATGTTCTCGTCGTATCTTATTTCATAAAAGCAAGTAATACATAAGTAATACTGTCAATAATGATAAAAGAAAGTTTCAGAAGTATACCGATGAGTATTTCTAATGGTTTCCCAACGACAAACCGTAAAACCATTTTCTTACTCGTTCAAAATTGCATACAATTTGTTACGCCACAAATGTTAACAGTTTGCATCGAATTCGCCAAAACTTTCATATACACCTACAAGATTTGTCGTCATATTATTTTGTTCATAAAAACACCGCACAATTCACGCGATAAACAACTTAGAGAAAAGTTTTACTGCACACATTTTACACGTGAGTAACATAATTTCGGTTCTACGTGAGAGATTACAATATACAGCGTTGCCTAAAAAAGTCTCTACAAATACTGTACGAGTTTGCCGTGAATGTTGAAGCACGCAACCGTTCCTGATCAGATAAGGGCTATTTTTTGTCGGCAACTCGAACCTTGCCGTGCGCTTACAATGGTAGAAAACAAGATAGATCAAGGGGAACGATCAACACATTGTAACTAACTTTTATGACCAACATACTATTGATGTTTCCCTTTTTCTAATAAAATAATTCTGAGTAAGATGATCCAATTTCGTTGAAATCGTGAAATATCCGTACTTTTAATTGTTTTAGTGGTATAGCGAATCTTGCACAAAGACTCATTTAACACTAGATTTGCGGAACGAGTTAATTTAACTCATATTGAATTTTGTCGATTTTAAACCTCTAATTTCCAAGATCTAAACGAAAGAATATCAGTTTTTCTAAAAACGATAGAACAAACTGTACAAATAAATCTCCGTAAATCTAGTGTTAACTATTCTTCTTACATGTATTTGCTTTCATAAATATATTCTTTTTTGTTAAATCTCAATGACATTTACCCACCCTAAAATAGGACCACGTGTGATTATATAAAACTAACCTGGAACCTGGGATGTTTTAATTTCTCAGGTGCCTGAGTATCGGAGGGAAGCCAGTGGAAACGATCGAGCGCGCGCGAGACGGTACAGCCTGCGCCTACAGCGCTTACCACAACACAAAGGGTATACCAGCGAGCGCACGAGGTCACCGGGAGGAATTATCTATCGCGATGCGTGTCCTGGGGTCCGGTTATCTGTCCACGTGTCTGCAAATCAAATACTACCGTCAAGATGATCAAAGTCACTGCGAATGGGGCGCAAGGTTGCATTGTATCGAGCTCGACTGCTCGAGCGTGGAAGGCAGATTGGTCACCGTTGACCGGGAAACTTACAGGAAGCTAGGCATAGAGTCCTAGCAGTCGGTTGGCGTTAACGTCATGAAAGCCATTACTTAACGAAAATTGGCTACAGCTTCTGTGTTACCTCGTAAGGGCGATGTTGTTTTTCACGATCGTAAATTGATTGACGCATGAGACCGATCTATTATCTGTGATCGGGATCGCTCGCCGAATAACAAGAATGAAACGGATAGAGCAGGCTCCAGACTCGATTTCGAAGCACGATCGCGTGGCGCCGATCATAGCGGGACGTTTTATTGACGATTCGAATTAAGAGACCAGTTTTCACGCCTGTAGGTGGAAAGAAATATTCGTCCGAATGTTTTATAACGGAACGTGAGACGAACAGATTGGGCAACGTCTTTCAGCGGGATATTTCGTTTGTAACAGGAAACGAGTCATGATATACCTGCGGATAAGGCTTTTAGCGATATGAACGTATCCTTCTGGCATCTCTCAACGGCTATATGAATATGTATGTAACATCGAACGGTGGACCCGTTTTACTAACCTCACCGAAACGTAACTTCACCCTCCTATTTTTCTATCTTGGAGAATACATTTGTATATATATACGAGAATTGTAAATGTATATACAATGCTGTTGTTATAAACTAATAGAGATGATTTATCGCAAGAAACGTGGCGTAACGTTCTTCGAATCGAGTAAAGTAATATTTGTCAACTGTTGACGACACTTGCACGAGCAGCGGATTAATTGTGTTACTTCGAGTATATATTTATCGATAGGAAATGCTTTGATGTCTCTCGATTTGGCCACAATGGACTTAAAATAGTCAATGATTCTTGTTTTATGGATTTATATATTTTCTCGCATTGAAATACTTTTCGTAAACTCTTGACGAAAATCTTTATAGCGTAGCTATACTTGTAAAGCGTAAATAGAACCATCGGCGATAGGGTTGCTTAACAATTATTTCTTACTGTTTATATATAAATAGGTTTATGTAAAATCACGATATTTTGAGAAGCATGTGATACATATAATGGATAAAAAATATTCTGCTCTGAATGACCAACGTATATCATTTTGCCAATATTCAATGAGACCTGAGGGAAGTTTAACATATTTAAAAAAAATGATAAGGATTATGGAAATTTGAGAACTCACTCATTTAAATAGCGCACCACATGTAAGAACGTATTCAATGTAGATGTTAATGAAGGAAAGATAAATAAACGAGATAATTTATTGAAAAACTACGAAAAATATGTATATTCATGATATAATTGATATAAATGAAGAAAGTGTCTAGAAATAAATCTATTATTTAATGCGCTAATTTAGATATTTAAAGCGTTTAAGATGAAAAAGAAAGATTTGCGTTTGTTCATTTTTGATACGTGATACGTGAATTAATCTGGAGTTATGATTTACTTCTTAGTATTTTAAAGAATTGCTTTTCACTCGAGCAATAACTGCATTTCTTTCCTTTTTCTCGCTTATAATTTGTGATAAAAGATTTTAACAATTTAATGCGTTTGAACACGAACTTACAATGAAACAACACGTAATAATGACCGTAGCGCCATACGAGGTACGTGAAATTAAGTTACCGCATAATTGCAACTACCGTTATAGGATTTCTACTTATTGCGTTTTAGAATGCAGAAATTCTGCATTTATATGCGCATATAAGAAACGAACCAATATTTCATTTATTTCTAACGACAAATTAAACTTCCAACAAATCAGACTTAAAAATTTTATACTTAAAGATATTGAAATAATTACATACACATATCTTAAACATTTAATTTTCGAACAATCAGTTCTTGCAATTATAAGAACTATTAATTATTTACTTGTTTGTGTATTTCTGTTCATAATATGGATTTCTACCATAATGTGTAAACATTGAACTTTATGTACTCAACATAAGGTAAAAGCTACAATTTTGAACTTCTGGCACAATATTAAACATTTTATTGCACTATAATACAATAAATTATGAAAAAATTATATAAGTCTTCATTTTTCAATTACTTTCACAATCTTTTTTTCATGAGTATAATTATTTTTATTATTACTATATTTACATTATTAGATTGAGTATTTTATAAATAATGGTAAGAGAATTATGGAGAATCTTACTAAGCTACATACAGTAACATTTCCTTTATTCCAAAAAATTGTATTAAATGAAAATAATTAGCAAGCCAAAAAATGTCTGATATATACTATGCTTTTCAGATTGCAACAACAATTTTTTATTAACAACTCTTATAATCAGCAAAAATGACCAAGCAGTGCCTCTATGCTTTGTACAATTGTAAACACAGATTGTTCCTATTCTTTAATCATGTAATTAATTGTTTTTTCAATAATACCGATATATGTACATTGTTTGATTAAAATGAATTATTTAACCCCTTAAGGATACCCTTTATTAGTCATATTTATATTTCGAAACATAAGTTAATGTTTATTGAATACAGAGATGCAAAAAATATAAAATTACACTTTATACAATGTAGGTTACAATGATCCTTATATTATTGTTTTATGACTGTATTAGAAATTAATTTACAAGGATTCCAGAATTTTTTAATTTAGAATTAAATATTTATATTTATAATTTAGGTGGTTCATAATTTAATATTAAAGTAGCTAAAGTCTTATTAGGTATTTTTGCTAGGTGCACTCTCATCTTCATTGCTATTTTATCAGACTGTTTTAAATACATTGCAGAGTGATGTATAGCAATTGTGTAAGGAACTGGGCACCAATCTTTTCTTACAATTCCTCTGACAAGAGCAGTTATATAACTTTCTATTAAAGATGTATCTTTCTCGATAGGATACAAATATTCTTTTAATGGAACAACTAATTGTTCTATTGATAACCTAATGTATCGAAGCACACCTGCATGCTCTGACCATAATAACTTTCTATAATGAGCATCATGTCTTTGTGCAATAGGTACCAATAAGGTCATTGAAAAACTGTTATCACCATAAGAAGTCGAACAGAAATGTTCACACATAGCGGTAAATAGATCAGTAAATGAACTTAATCCAGGTAACTCCATTGTAAAATTAAGTTTCTTATGATGATCTTTCAACAAAGTTGAAACGGCTCTAGTAAGCAAAACCGAAACGTCATTATTTAAATATATTGTATCGCAAAGATACACCAAGATTAATCTGCTAAATCTCAAGCTTTGTGAAAGTTTTTCAACTAAATCAGGTAATATTAATTCCAAACTTAGTACAGTCAAGATGACAGATTTGTCTTCATCGTTACATTTACCAGCATTTCTACACTTTGTGTAAATGTATATTACAGGTAAATAAATCCAATCCTTAGGCATTGCAGCTTGATCCCATTCACCATTCAATGGTACATACTGCTCATATATAGTTGCCACATTACGAGATAAATTGGGTGTAATATCCTGTATATTTGAACTTAAATTCAATTTTTCTAATTCATTTGCGACTATTTCTAAACTTAATTTCTCTTCTGATAAAGCACTTCTTAACATATTTTTTATATCAGACGAAGAATCAGCTGGCAATGTCGATACCAGTTTAATAGCAATTTTCCAAATAATATGCATTATTTCATTATTCAATTTCTTTTTAATAATAGAAGCAGCATTAACTATACTCGTTAAGAACAATAATTCAGATCTTGTATACCATGATTTTTCTAAACACCAGTCTGTTGTTTCCAATCTTTTTAAATACTTATAAACTTGTGGAAGACTAAGCACTGCTTGAATTTCTTCTATAAAAGAATAATTGGTGAAAATACTGAAAGTAGTACCAAGAAAAGGAAAACAAGATGGCTCAGATACTATAGGCTGCAACTGTCCATCCTGAGTTAATACTCCTAAGTGAAGTAGACAAGAAGGTTCACGTTCTGTAGCTGGACTACATTCACTCAATAAATTCGATGTAGAGCTACAAAGATTAAAAATATTTTATATCTTCATTTTCTCTAAGAAAATATTAACGCTATATGATACCGAAACGCCTACCTAAGTTTTTGAAATACTTGCGATCGGGATATACTCAATGTTTTAACAGCGGAAGTATCACCAACAGCCAATAACGTTTCTGATATAAGTTTTGTTTTTCCCCACTATAAAAGAATATACTTTTTGTAAATGTTTGACTTTCATATATACATATCGTTTCATGTAAAATCTTGTATATTGTCTTTGAACCAACCGTCACGTTTGTTAGAGATTGTAACTGTATATTCCATTTTCTTAATAAAACTGATATATTTTCCTTTAAAGGTGTTAGACAACTAGCTACAGCTATTAAAGATGCTGCATATTCACAAGACAATTCGGATGCGGTTTGAATATTATGACTGCTTAAGAGAAGTTGCAACTGAGATAAAAGAGTTAATTGTGCTCCAGTTACACTGTCCATCGCCTCTCCATGAAGTAACAACAGTTTCCATAACCGTAAACTTTCAATTCTAAGATTAAAACTTTCTTTCCTAAAAATAATAAAAACCTCCTAGATCTGTTACATACAATAAAAAGTACTTAAAAAAAGAACATTAAGAATAAATTTCACAGTTTAATATGATTTAATACAGTACCCTGCATCACAACTGATGTATGACAAAATGCTTTGCACAATTTTAAGTCTGTTTAACTTCTGAGAAATTGGTTTTCCTCCATAACAGAGCAAAACTCGGCAAAATTTAAGAGCAGCAGTAACAGGAACACCATACACGTTGTTTATAGTATTGACCATTGCTACAAATAAAGAACATGCATATTACTAACAATATATTTAAAATAACTGCTAGACTTTAGAGACAAAAAATTAACCTAATGAGTTTGTAGATAGGGGTACAAAAAATTCGATTATCGTTTCTAATAAATTTGGTGTGTTTCCAACATTTAATGCTGTTATAGGTGAATGTCTTACAAGCCTGGTTAATATTTCTAACGCAGAAGTAACACCAACTGGCGGAGGCCGCATTTCGCTTAAAATGTATCTGCAGATAATTACATTTATCTTATTAGTTTTATATTTTATATGTTTTTAATAAAAATGGAGAATAAACTATTAAATACCTGATTCTTAAAAGAATATCAGATCTTAATAAAGCAGCTATTGCATCTAACTGAGCCAGTTCATGGTCTTTTAAATCACTTGTATCAGAAACATCTGTTTTTGGTGTCTTCAAAACAGGTTCCTTGTAATTATTGAAACCATACAGTCTATCTAAACAAACTTCATCTGCCTCACTGTATAAAAATGCTCTAAGTGCTTGTAAAGTTGCTGTAACTACAGCTACCGATGTGTCATCTAATGAAAATCGTAACAGTAGCAAAATATTTTTCTGACTGAGAGCATTCAAAGGTGCTGGTTGTAATGCTTTGTCATACCAGCCACTGCGACTTTTTTCTATAATGTTTGCTAATGTTGTAAGAGCAGTGCATCGTTGTTGTTGTGTGGCTGATCTACTTAATTGTAATAATTCTTGTAAAGAATATCCAGGACGTTCAGGTTCTTCTCCATGATGGTGAAGACCTTTATCAAGTGACACACTTTCGTCCTTATATGGCAATAATAAACCTATCAAAGTATATTAAAAATTGGAGCCTATGTTTAAAATATGCATTCCTAAGTAAACTAATATAAAAGAATTTACCACTAAAATCGAAACGAGCATTGTATGGTTCATTTGGAGCAGGTTCTTCAATTTTCTGTGCTGGTACTTCTTCCATCCATTTTAATTTCTGAGGTTCAAGGGCATCCATGTGCACCCAACCCTTCTCTTTAGCTTGTTCCATTAACTCTATTGGAGCTTTCGGTATACTTTCAGGCTCATCTACTTGCATAGGTACAATATCATTGTTTTTGGATGGACATGTATTATTTACATTAAATACTTCTTCAGATTTATCTACTTCCATTTGTATAACATCATTACTTTTAGATGGAACGTCATGTTTGTCAGAAATTTCTTTTGTAATTAATTTTTCCTCATTCATTTGCTCATTAGAATTTTGATTCTCTGTAAGACTATTGAATTGTTTAATTTCTACCTCGTTCTTTTCTTCTTTAAGTTTTCTGTTTCTTCTCTCTTTTAAAAATTGGATTACTTCTGGTTTTAAAGCCATTTCAAGTTTATTTTTCTCTCTCAATATATCTTCTGTAGTCATCTGACTTAATTTTTCCAAATTTTCCTTATGTATTTCACTTGACCATGATCCTTCAATAATAACACTACCTTCATTAACTGATGATATAATCCCTTGAGAGTTTTTCATTTTATTTGTTGTTTCCTTTTTTGAAGAAACTTGTTTCAAAAATAAACTTTCATTATCATCACTTTCCTAAAGACATATAATAATTGAAGTAAATAAACTAAAAACTATATGTATGGTTATCATAAAACAATGTGAATAATGTACCATATACTTAGAAACAAATACTTCTGGAAATCCTTTGGTCGAATCAAACAAAGATTCCCTTTTATTAAAAATATAGTTAATTGGATTAAATTTCTTTTCAATTATATTTCCTAATACTATATTAGACGGCGCAACTGGTATGTTTTGAACAGATTCTTGCGATCCTATGTTTAAATTATTCTGAATTCTTTCATTAACTATAGGATTTATAACATCACCGCTAGTTTGTGAAGTAGAAACTCTATTATGTGTTTTAAGTTTCTTCAGCTCAGAATATTTTGATCTTGTTTTTCCAGTACCAGATTCATTTCTAGATGATCCCGTAGAAGTAGCACTATCAAATGATTTTGCTGAACCTCGCAAATTAATTACTTTTGCAGACGGTTGTTGTTTGTTCTTCAAAAATTCTTCTTGCATACGAAATAATTCTTCTTCACTGTCAGTCGGCTTAGGCCGCTTCAATATTGGAGTCCTATCCATAATTTCTAATTATATCAAAAATATATACAGTAAATTGTAATGTTTGTACGCGGTAGCTAATTTTCTTTTTTATTATCAAATACTTTTAGGTTATAAACATTCTCAGTATAATTAGCATTTGTAGTAGATTAGTGCACAATCAGTTATTCACCATACGTTAATAAGTACACTTATTCACTTTACTTCTATTAACAACTAAAGTGTAATTTAAAATTAATATTAAACTATTCGTCAAATTTGTATAAGTTGATATTTTGCATCAACAATTGTTAATCGTTACATACATAACTAAGTACGTCTAACCCAACCAATATTATTTTATGGTAAAAAACACGCCATCTGTGGCAGAACTTAATCCTGACATCGTAAATACATATGAGATATCTATCTAGTAGGTAGGTACATGTATGTATTTATCAGAATGTTTACTTACTTATTGGACGTCAGTCATCGTATTGTTGATATGTATATATCGATTTAAAGTAATTAAGTAAATAATATAAAACTGCCACAGAAAATTAACCAGAATTTAATATATGTAATTCTAAATACTAGTGACAGGTTATACAGTTGCAGTTAGTAGTAAATATATTGTATAATGATAAATTTGTGAATATGTATCTTTTAACAATGACAACTTTTTATGCCAACTCCTGTGACGTGCCGTGGTATAATGTGAGAACAAAAGAATTGTAATTAATAATTGTATATTTATTTATATAGTTATCCAGAAATATTATTGTAATCACGAAATTTATTTGATCTTTTTGCACATAATGGTAGAGGAAGTAGTTAATTCTACTAATAAACCTAAGGTAAGTTGAACATTTAAATGATATTCTAAAAATGTAATAAAACTTTATAATATTCTTAAAATTCAATTTATACTATTTCCATTACTATCTAATTAATTAACTAATTTTAACATTTTTCGTACATACGTCAAATATTGCAGAATAAAACTGCCCGACCACGTCCAGTTTATTTATGGAATGTGTTAGATGTACAAAAATGGTTAAGGAGGCATTGTAGTGATTATTATCAATTGTATCACGAAAAGTTTTTATATGTAAGTATTTCATGGATATAATAAATGTAAATCCATACCTCATAATTACTTTAATTACATTTTTGTACTTCTAATAATTGATATCTTGTTATTGTTATTTGTTTTTTCAAGCATGACATCACAGGAAGAGTTTTGTTGAGAATTAATGAAAATATTTTATTGAGATTGGGAATTGATAATGAGCAACATAGAATGGATATTTGGAGAGAAATAATGAAATTACATCTTAAAACAGATATGTTAGAAATTAAAGATATTGAGCGACGCAATAATATAAATTTTGATTAAAATGTGAAGATAATCGATATTATGAAACCAGTAACTTATTTATAATTAAGCTTTATTTTTTTGCTAACATATAGTAAGAAAGTTCTTACACATTGTATTATAACTATTAATGTTTTAATCATGTTTTAAAAAGTAAAATATTCATATT